TTAAATGTCACAGACACCTCTAACTGGTTTTTCAGGTTACATGAAAGTAACCTGTCACCACTGTCTTGTCACTCCCTCTTTAGCTGAGGGAGGAATGATTTAATAACTACCGGTAAGTGCAACGTGCAGTCACAGACTAAATACTTTTCCTAGAGAGGTGAGAAGTAACACCAGTCAAGATGGAAACAAAAATCCTGTGTTGGATATTTTTGCTTGGATATTTACATGCATCCTCTGGACAAGGTAACTCTTGTGTTTCTTTACAAGTGTTTTTTGTATGGCTTTGATTGATGGTATTTTATAATTAGTGTTAAGTATTCTAAAGTAAGTATTTCAATTTGTGTTTGACATACTACAAATACTGCAGATGTTTTTAGAGCTACCCTCTTCTATTTCCCAATGTGTTTTTTAATTAGTTTTAAATATCCTATATTTTGTAAATGTGTGTTTGTGACTTAGGCTCAGTTGGTTTTTCAATTCTAAATTAAAGATCCATATAAAACAAAAGATTACATACTATATATATACAGTATATACTGTATACTGTAGAAAGGTAAAGCACTCTATCTCTGACAAGGTCTAACTGTCTTTCAGTTAGACATTATAGTCAATATTGTATTACGTAGGGGAGAATATTTATATGAGGGTAGTTTGGTATTATGGTTGGCGCTCAGGTAAAGGTGGTAGTGTATATGTAATAACATAATGTAATAACATATTGACAAAACACACAGAGACCAGAGGACATTACATCTATTTGTTCTTTAAAGTTTATGTTTCACTGTGTTACTGCTTATGAGAAGTAAGATAAAGTCAAACCGCTCCGGAGTCACAGGATGTTGTCATACATGCTTCCTGGGCGCTCTACTCCAGAGCAGTTAAAACCATTTGATATAATAGCATCACTATCTGACCCAAGTGACAGGCTATGGAAACTGCCAGGACATTGCATCTTTATTTCCCAGTGTCAGAATTTTAAAAACTTTATTAGATAATAATTAATAGTAATTAGTAATTTGCAACACTCAAAACATGTTATTATGTGAAAGTAAATACCTCTTCTTCCTGTTTTGTTGGAAACTTGAAGTATAGTATAATTTATGTCTAATAGTGCTAAAATAAAGTGAGACTGCTATGCCTACCACGACTGAAACCCCAGGAACTACAACTATTGACCCACCTACGACCCAGTGACTACAACAGCAAGTTTCTAACCCTAACCACCACAACTCAGCTAAAAACAATAAGTGAAGGAGAGAATAAAGGAATAATGAAAATTGACATAAAAAAATACTTTGGAACAATGTATTTGTATAGATTGGTTAAACACAACTACAGGATATAATCTGCCACCAAGTGTCTGAAAATAACACAATTATGGTTATACATTGACTGATATCTATGTATCTGGACAGGAGATGTTATTGAAAAGATGATTTGTGATATTGGAATTGTAGTGATACTGCAGTGAATGCAACTGAAGAATCTTGAATGAATTTGTTTCTGGAGTGAACTAAGTTTCATCTGAATTTCAAGCCATTTGTACTCGTTTGTCTTCTTCAATAATAACACATTCCAATAATCACATTAGTCTTTTATTAATTTACATATTTTTGTTTTTTATATCCCCACAGACTTTGGATCACTGATACATCTACGGATTAAACTAATTTCATATGGAAATCTCAGCAATGAAACCATCATTGAACTTGTTAAACAGGTTTGTTAAACCGAAAGTGTAAAATAAAAGCTTGTGAAGGCTCTTCAGCTAAAACAATCAGTTACTGAGTTCTCACAATATAAATATCTGTGTTTTCTCTCCATTTAGTCCTTTAGAGACAATCTCCCGGTTGCCCACACAGTCACAGTGACACACATTCAAAGGACTGGCCAAACAACTACACTCATAACCACACCTATGACAACAACACCAATGAACACAACCACACCCACAACAACACCACTGACAACCATACCCATGAGCACAACCACAACCACAACAACACCTGTAACAACCATACCCATGAGCACAACCACAACCACAACCACAACAACACCTGTAACAACCATACCCATGAGCACAACCACAACCACAACAACACCACTGACAACCATACCCATGAGCACAACTACACCCACAACAACACCACTGACAACAACACCAACACCCATAACCACAACAACACCTGCAGCTGAAACTACCACATCTGCAGCAGCTTCTACAACTGTGGTTCCAACCACCACACCACCGGCTGCAACTACCATACCTCCAAGTACAACGACCACGCCACCAACTACCACATGAACACCCCCAGAAATTACAACTACACCAGAAACTACTACTACTACCACACCTCCTAGCAACAATACCCTTCCCTCGTGAGTTTCCCCATAGAAGTTTCATGTGGACAGAATTAGTCAAAAATGAATGTATAAATACAGGTTCAGAGTGAATCTTTTAAAAAAAAATTAAATTAATGGTCTGTCAGGTTTGACTGACTACTGAGTGTGAATCTGTTTTGTCGTGTGCCATCAAAAGTGTATTTATTAGGCTTATAGAATATGTTATTCCAATTGGAACACCGAGAAATATTTCAGTACAGAGAAAGAAGTCGAACCTTCACATTCTGTGTACAGGCCAACTTTTTAAAAAAAGTTTATGTTACATGGGGCACACATGAATGATTACATGTATACTGTATGTTTGTGTTTAACTTTGTTTGGTGTTGCCTATTTACCTTAATTTTGCCCATTTGGTAAATTTACCTGCCTTGGAATTGAATTTAATATATGTGGAATACATTGAAATGTATAAAAATTTATTTTTTGGTGTATTTTAAAAAAAGGTATTTGTGATCCTTACATTTGTCGCTGATTTAAATATTCCTTTCAAATGATTTTTTTGTACAAATTTTTTTTTTATTTTTCTGATCTATATTAGACAACAACGATTTAGTGTGATTTTGTTTGTAGCCACAATCACTTTCACTTAAAGAACCAGTGTGTAGAGTTTAGTTGCATCTTGTGGTGAGATTGCAGATTGCAACCAATTAAAACAGCTGCTCCCTCTGTAAATAAAAATGGCTCATTCAGTTATTATTTTCAGGTAATTATACACAAATGCAAACAAACCTATGAATATTATATTCAGTTTCTACCAATAGATCCTCCTAAGTGTTACTTCGTAAAATGTGGTATTTGTAGCGATTTGGCTCCTGTTGTAAATATGGACAGCAGTATGTTTTTCTGATTACATTACTTATGATCAAAAACTAGCAGAATAGACAACTTTGACTAACACAGCCAAACATCAAGAAAGTGCAACAGCACAAGCCATAGCAAGCCAGTTAATATAATTTACTTGTCCAAGAGCAAAAAGGGAACTCACTGTTTGTCTGCACCCCGACCTGGATCCAAAAGTCTAAGGCGCAAATCAGGAATGAATGAGTTAATGGTACTTACACAGAACACAGAAGATTTATTTATTTTTATTTTATTTCTTTTACCATTTAATAGCAGACAGAAAACAAGGGACAGAGAAAAATGGCAATGGAAGTACCCAGCTGAAGGCAAACCAGTTGAAAATATCATGCCACACAATTTAAAAACGACAAATTGGCCAAATAGCCTTTACTATCCAACTATGCTTTCACAGACACAAGAATTTCCAATTTTCAGTGAATGCAGAAACACACAGCTACAACATACATCTTCAGCAAAAAGCATCGCCTATATCTACCACAAAGAAGGGTTTCAGCGTAGGTTTCTAAATTCATGACTGCAAAGATAAAGCTTATAGAGTTCACGGCATGTGGATGTAATTAAAGCAGTGATAACAGTAAGGAATAGGAATCATGTAGAATATTAGAGTTTGAGCTGACCAAAAGAGAGAGAAAGAAAAAGCAGAGGAAGAGAAGAATTTCTTTACATAAACAAGAAACCTGTTTGACAGCCTTGATCAGGGTGTCCAGTAAAAGTTTCCATTAAGTGCAATTACATGAAAAAATCCCAATGTTGATGGGGATGTACCTTCCACTCAATTTACACCAGCTAAAGAAGTTCTAAAAATAGCACGTGTTAATAGAGACTCGCTAACAAGCTGTCAATTATGTACTCTGGCTCAGCATTTCCCATCTTGGCTACAACGTAGAATGTGAATCGTCATCCTTGGAGATAAGAGTAACAGTAAAGATCCAAATGCATTAAGCCAATCCAACCTTACCAGTCATGACTCATTATGTTGATATTTTCCTAAATAAAGAGCTGGATGGTAAACCCAGTGCATTATGGTGTCACTGCAGGTTTTTCCAGTGATTTGTTTTATATATTGTGTAAACAAGTGTCAATGACTTACCTGGTTTTTCAGGTTATTTCCAGGTAGCTGCTGTCAGGCCTTGTCTCCTCCTCAATAGGAGGGGGGAGTAATGGTAAACTAAGCGCAACATACAGTCACAGGTTAAATGCTCGTCTGTACCTGTTGCTGAGAAGTCACACCAGACATCATGGCCAGAAAATTCATTAGTTGGATGTTTGTGCTTGGATATTTGCATGCATCCTCTGGACAAAGTAAGAGAAATTATTGCTTACAACTTTATTTACAAGTTCTATTTTTGCCATATTGATCAGAATACACTGGAGATAGTAGTGATGTTAAGTATTAAGCAAAGTATTTCAGTCTGTGTTTTACATTTAACATACTACAAAATATTGTTGTTATTGATTTATTATTCTCTCCTATAAAAAATATTGTAGTCTAATTAATTCAACTTAAGTAATTTTAACTGTTTATGTTACTGTAAGCAAGATCTGGACTGAAAATGTGTTTTTCGTTGCTGTTACAAATTATGATACAAGGACTAATTATAAACATTTACCCATGTACAACTGTTAGCCGGAATCGTCTAAAGATAAAACAATCAAATTGTATTTAATCTAATAAGTAGTTATATAATTAAAATAAGGTTAAATAGAGTTGGTTAATTTGCTTTGGTTAATTTCCAAGACGGCATTTACTTCCTGATTGGTCCTCTGTCAAAGACATGTCAAGAGCATAAAACATAAATCCAGGCTGGCAGACAGCGTCAGGTGCCACCATTATACTTTTGAAAAGTTAATAAAAAGAATAAAATAAAAAAGTTGAAAAGAATATTATTTGCACTTTGATTCAAGAACATTGTTAGACATTGGAAATGCAATGCCACTACCTAAAATCACCAGGATAAAATGCATACCAGCCTGGAAAGTAGCCGTTGAGATGTTTGGTGACAGTTGTACAAACAGACAATGGATCCCATTGTTTCTACTGCTTTATTAAAGTCCTCATATGAGATAAACATGACAAGGGATATGGAAATACTGAGGTATTTGACCTAATTGTTTTTCTGAAATGTAATATTTATAATTCTAAATGATTACAGCTACTACATCTGAAGACATGGGAACGTTTGAACCATTGATATTAAATATGACTGCTCCTCCCCTAAACGCAACAGCCCCAACAACCACAACAGAAGCATGTAAGCTATATTTTTTCATACATTCCTGTCAATTTTCTACTTTTCTATTCATGCGTCTTGACTTGCAATACTTGTTTCTTTATTTACAGTTTTCTTGTTCGATGTTTACTGGTATGCACCAATATACCAAGGCAATTTCCTTGTATGTTAAAATCCACTTGACAATGAACCCATTTCGGATTCAACCACCACAACTAATCTGGAAACAATACGTGAAGGGTGAAACTAACACTGACAAAGAAACTTCATTGACTTTGATGGGTTATAAGTTGAAACTTGACACTGATAATTGACACGAGAAATGAGTCACCACAATGGATGACATTTCAGGGGGTTCAAATTGTTTGGTTCAAGACAACAACAAAATATATGAGTGCAACATCTTTAAACTAGACTACAGATGCTTTTAGACTTTGATCTGTGATATTGCGATACTCCAGTGGTCATACAGGGAATCCTGATTAATTGGACTGGATTGAAAATGATATTCATCCTGAATTAATCCTAATTTTGTATCAACAATGAACTGACCCCAAGTCTATTTGTAAATAAAATTAACCAAAATATATGATAAGTGATTCAGAATGTATCTTTAAAGACTGCATCAAAAGACATTTCTTCTCATTTGTCTTCTGCAATAATAACTAATTGTATGTTCATGGAATCATAGTGTTTACCAGAAATTATTTTAACATTTACATTGTATTAAATTTCAATTTCAACATGTGATTTTATTTTATTTTTTTTTTTACAGTCCTTGACTCACTGGCACATCTGAAGGCGAAGCTAACTTCATATGGAGAGGTCACCAATGAAGACATCATTAAATTTGTTAAACAGGTAAAACAGAATGTGTAAAATAAAAGTTTTTGAAGACTATTCAGCTAAAACGATCAGTTATTGAGTTCTCACAATATAAATATCTATATCTGTGTTTTTTCGGTTCAATTTAGTTCTTTCGAGACAATCTCCCGAATGGAACAGCCCACGCAGTCACACTGACAGAAATTCAAAGGATTGTAGATTCAACCACAGCTGGAACTACCGTTATCCCAACCACCATACCCCCGAGTACAGCTGCAACACCCATGATGCTCATCAACACAACTACAACACCAACAACACCCCTGACACCCACACCCCTGAACGCAACAACACCTGTGACACCCACAACCATAGACACAACAACACCTGTGACACCCACAACCATAGACACAACAATCCTAGACACATCCACAGCAACACTAGTGGCAGACACAACAGCCCCTCTGAGCAACAGTACCACAGTTTCAAGCAACACCACTACCCCGTAGAATGTATAGATTTAGGTTCAGAGTGAATCAAGTAAATAAACGATCTGTCAGGTTTCACTCACTGACTACTGCATGTGAACCTGTTTTATCTTGTACAATCAAGAACTGATTTATTAAGCTTATAGAAACTAATTCTTTAGAAAACCAGAATATAAATATTTTTAAAACACTTTTCATCAATTGTTTTAAAAAGTGTGTGGTTTGTGTGGTTTTGGTTTTGCCCTCTGTTTCAGACTCTTGCAGTCTCTTGTATTTCTTCCCAACATTGCTGATTTCATATTTTTTCAAATTATTATGTTTGTACTAAAATTCTTCATTGTTCTGTAACGATTTAAAAAATATTACTTGTGACATTTCTGCACTGTCAAAGTTAAACCATTGTAGGCTTTCTGGTTTTGCTTCAATGTAACACTAGATTTTATAAAGCAATCCACGGCTTTATTTCATGTTTAATAATCCCCTTTTGAAAGATGAATAAAGAGACAGATCTATTTGAAGCGCCTTCTTTGTGTTCTTAATAAATACTTCAAAAAGAAAGTTTAGTGTGACTTTTTAATAACTTTATTATAAGTATTAGATGCGCACACACACACACACACAAATTGTCGAGATCAGCCTTAAAACCTTCAGTGAAAATATAAATATCAAGTGAAAATGTTGCTGTTGATAGGATATCTGCATCAACAGTATATTGTATTTAACTATTAAAAGATTAAAACAAAACCTGAATGACAAACATTGGTCTAGGCTTCCTCATCAGGTCATATGAGTTAGTACCTAATGCAAACTGCTCATGGACCAGCACCTATACCCCCAACATTGTTCATATCCTGCAGTTTCACAAAGTCAGCTTCAGTGGGATGAGAAGTATCCAGGAGGACGTCCACTTCATAAACTTGTGATCACTGCTACGCTACCGTCCTCTCCATCTCTCTCTGTCTGGAAACGAGTAAAGCCCTGGGCCTCGTGCATGGCTCTGCTCAGCAGCATCAACAGGTCTGCAGCCCCTGCTGCTCCCCTCGGCAGGAAGAGCTCCAGAGCGCAGGTGGAGACGTAGGGCAGACGCACACCTGACATGCTCGCATCCTGGAAAATGAATTCAAAGAGAAGGAAAAAGTATGGAAGCAAATAAAAGCAGTGATAATTTTAATATTATATGCACCTGAATAGCTGAGGTGATAAAAGGTAAAAGCACCATAAAATACTTAAGGTTTAAATTGAAATAGCATTGAATTTATAGCATTAAGAGTATTTTACTTTGAAAAACATCTATCTGAATTCACGGTTTTGAAATTCTGGTCCGTCTTTTTAAGTTTTGGCAGAGGCAGGTCCACCCAGTTTAGATCAAGATCAAGATCAAGATCAGCTGTCCATGGTTTCCTGTAACTCATATCACCTGGTCCTGTACTGATCCGATAGATACCAACCTGGGAGTAAAACCGCAGGGAGATCAATCTTGGGAACCCAAGAGGAGGCAGATGATCAGCTCCTGTGATGAAGGCGAGGAGATCTTCAAAGGAAAAATCTGCCTGACCATCTGACGAGGACAAATTAAAGTTAAATATTATATCATAGTAACCGCTAAAACACTTTTATCATCTTCTTCGTCAATCAATCGTCTTTAATTCTTTACTCCACCCATCTCTTTGTTCTTACCGCTGACCTTGGTGAGGACTGTTTCCCAGTGTCCGGCTGTTGCCTCCTCAGCTGCCCTCAACTGGCTGTCCGGGCAGCTGTAGCAGGCAGTGAAAACCTTTTTGAACTCTTCCAGGGTCAGAGGCTGTTGCTGTGCGCTCATCATCACTGGCAAAAACACCTCCCAGTGGGTCAGTACTGTATCCCACAATCCACCACAGCTGTTCAACCCCTCGGTGAACTGGGCGATCATATTGGCCACCCTGAAGGACAGCAGAGGGACTGAGTGATTGTTTAATTGGCTCACTAGCTTATTTTTCTATATCAGATGCTTAACGGGAGACAGCACTGATTTTTAGTTTCATTTTCAGGGCAGCTGACATTGTAGCAGCCGTTCCCATGCAGTGGAGGACATGCAATACTTACATAAATAAATGAATACTGTACATACAAATAAAATAACTAGTGACAGAATATTAAACACACCAGTGTATGGGACATAAACTACAAGTTTCAAGTGTACGCTGCATGTATCACTAATCTGTGTGGGTTGTGTGGTGTGTGTGTGTGTATGCATGTGTGTGTGTGTGTGTGTGACCGACCTGTGGTAGATGTAATATTTGACAAGGCGGTTATAGATGACTGGTATTTCATCAGAGTGGGCTGAATATATTCCAGGGATACCACAGCTCGACACCCAGTCACACAGACTGGGAGATAGCAGCTGTACATCAGTACAACTATGCAGCTAAAACAGGAGCAGAGGAGTGTTATTTGTGTTTGTGTGTGCGTGCGTGTGTGTGTGTGTGTACGGTACTGCACAGATTACATTTTTGAGGCATTTATCTCCATTTGATAGGGGACAGAAAATAAGGGAGAGAGAAAGAGGAAATGACATGACACGAAGGTCCCCGTCCGGGAGCAAACCGGTTTGGTAAATATATTTGTGTTCAGTTTCTCTCTACTGTGGTAGAACTGGAACCGTGTAAATTAAAAACAAGAAATCTGGAAATAGTTGCTCTTCCATACATATAAATACTGGATTCATGCATCATTTAAAAAAAAGGCACAAAAAAGAAAATGTAATTCACTTTGCGTAGTTTTTTTTAACTTAACCACGTTGTTTAGTCATTTTATTTTCTGAATGTGGTGACAGAATTGAATTGTGCAGAAGTTTTTGTTTTATAGTTTATTGTGTCAGTTTGAAGTACAGGTGTGTGAGGTTTCTGTGTGTGTGTTACCTGTTGCAGTCGGATCTGTACTTCAGCATCGGCAATGTCACTCCAGCTGAAGTCCTCCAAAGACGGATTCTGGCCACACATCAACTGTGACAACAAAATATAATACAATATCAATGAATACCAATGCACAAATACAATTCAACACAGCTTCTGTAATTTACACTATGTGTTACTGAAGGCCTTTTGTTTTGTACGACACACACACAATAGAACAAGCAGTGGTCATCACTCGTCAGATTATGGCAGTGTATAACCATGCTGATGTTAAACAGCATTTTGTTTGTGTCAAATGCTGTCAAATTTAACACTTTAATTATGATTCATTTTAAACCTAGTGTGTTAAAAAAACAGAAATTAACACATAACTTAATGATCTGTTATGGCCATATTTTAGACAAAGTAACAGGAATAAGTTTGATGAAAAAAACCCATTGGAAAAATGGCTGAAGATTTGGGAATAAAACAATTAATTTATCACCTATAGATATTTCTATATATGCCATAGTAATGCAATTTCTTTGAGCTTTCCAGCTTTTACAAGCAAATATTTCTACCACCCAATGTCTCTAGCTCTGCCCCTGCACAACAATCAGTACTTTAAATTACATCTTATACATAAAAGACACATGCACACAACCTGGTAAAGTGCAGGGTGTAGACAACAAGGTCCAGGCCCACCATGAGCCAGAGACCAGCCAATCAGGACGCCTGCTTCGTAATACTTCCTGTCTTCAAGAGCTTTGAGGTCATAGGTAAAGAACAGGCGCCCCGGAAGACCCTCAAACACAGAACTTTCCTGCAACTCCAGCAAAGTCAATCTGTGTGAGAGGAAATTAGAAATATCTGTTGTCAGAGATTCACATATTATAAAATTATGCTTTAATTAGCTGATGTAGATTATTATTATAAACAATGAACACACATACATACATACACATACATACATACATATATACATATGACAATTATTTGTCATTATTTTGGCATTAATCAAGCAAAAAATGTGATCTACGTTATATACAGTATATAATATTTTTGTAATGATAATCATTTTGCAAACCATTTATCCATAAATTATGTAAATGTCAGTTTAAAAACACATTCATTCATATTGGATCAACAACTAATCAGGCCAAGAATAATACCAAGCCAAGAGCTTAGATATTGTATTATAAGCCTATAAACTAAACTTTAAAAACACATTCGATGGATATATTAAAAAAAATAGTACAATGGTTTAAAAAAAACAGGAGGCATAATTGGAATCACCAACATGTGCTTCAGGAAAAACACGAGGAAATTAATAATAACCTGAAGAACTTTCTGAGAGGTCCCTCGTGTCCATCAGTCTCATCTCCACTGAAGGTGACAATGGGCGTCGTCCTGAAACAGAAGTCCGGTCTCCTCACCGCCTTCAGAGCGCTGTGGAGCACGTCTCTCCTCCTCACGTGGATGTCGGTTTCTACATCTCCATTTATGTTCTCCTGTCTGAACAGTCTCAGGATGGCGTCCAGGTCGAGTGTCGACTGCACATCACAGGGACAGGTTTAACAGGAGACAAAGAGGAAATGATCTGGGGGGAAAAGTTGTTGCATTTGTTCTTTTTCTTGTCTACTGTCAGTGCCACAGACCTTTTGAAAGGGCAGACAGAAAGGAAAAAAAGGGCACATATAGCGCGTCCTCACCACCTGTAGAGGGCACTTTTAGACACGTTTTATAGTTATACAAATGGACCATTATTAGCTTAAAACAGACTAATTTAGACAGACTTTATCAGGTTAGCTGCTGTATGATCAGCATCCACGAGACTGTGTGGATTTCAACATAGGACTTTGAAGAACACACAGTGACATGGATGTATGAAGAAAAAAACCCCTAGGGGTCTGGTGGTTTCCCCCCAGAAGATTTTCAAATATTAAGTAGGATGCATTCCTGTAATTCTAGTGCATTTTAACACATTATTAGCACCAGATTAAATCCAAACTGTTCTCGTGAGATATAGTTCTGGTCAATATAATAACAAAGGGCCCAAATAAAATCATTGCACAGTTAATAGTGTCAATATATTTTACTACACTATGATGAGAATAAGTGCTGCTCCATTGCTGCAGGTGGCAGGGCATGAATCAAAGTCTCAACGTCTTAAAACAAAGTGTAAGGTCCAAGCTCAAGTTTTTTGGAAAGAGAGGAATAATACCAATCGGGGGTAAACTTTAAACTGGCGGAAACCTGATATGCATGTTTAAACCAAACTAATTACAAATCTTACCATGCTATCTTGAAAAGCTATAATTCTCACAAGACATAAGTGGAAAAAAACAGGTATCACATCTTAAACATGCAATAGGATCCAATATCTATATATAGAATTAGACAGAGGGCAATTTAGATTATTACTTTGCAACAACGGAGGGCACTTTACGCACAAGATGTTGTCCTGACAAATAGGACATATATAGCGAAGCTTTGCTCCCAAGAGGCACTTTGCACAGCTTATTGGCTCCAAGAGGAAAACATTTAGACGAAATGTTTTGGATCCCAAGGGGCACATTTAGCCAGCGTTTCAATCAACTGGACCAAGAAAGGGGGGCACCCTCATCCCTGTGGCATGCCAACTGATACACCTGTGAGTAGAACCAAACTCACCTCCTCTGGGGTGCTGCCAATTGAGCTGGTCATGTACTATTTCCACTGCTCATGTGTCTGACCTCCAGGCAAAAACTATATTCACTTACAGAGACAAACACAACACAAAACACAACAACAACGAACAACACAAGCCACACATTCAGGTAATTCAGTTGTATGGTTTACCATTTTTGGAATATTTCTTTCCAGGAACAACTAATGCTTACATACCTGTTCAGCACAGGCGTATCACTAGCTGACCTTTCTGGTTCTGCCTGTTGAGAGAAGAGTATTTTAACTTTACGCCCTTTGGAAGGATCCATCTTAAGGAATCCCATCTGAATATTTTTTTTTTTTTTTTAAAGACTTGAAGATTAAAAAAAAGTTTTCATTGTCAATCCCTAGAAATTACAATAAATCACAGCCAACCTTATGTATTTTGAATGCCGTTTCATTTTCCAAAAAATTATATATATGTCTTATATTGCTTTGCTGGGGACCCCCTATAAACCACTCTAGGACACCTGTTGGTCCCTAGACCCCAGTTTGAAATCCACTGTACATTAAACCACTGATTAATGTAACATCATGCTGAAAACTATATTAACATAAATGGAAACCAAACATCCAATATGAAAATGGTAGCTGTTTGTTTTACCTGTGGGTAGTCCTGGTGGCTTAGGATGTACAAAGCACCATGTCCAGAGATGCTGAGCACCTGCTCTCCAGTCCAGCCCTCTGCAGGGGTGTCTGGGACAAACAGCACCCTGGAGCCCTGCACACACTGGAAACCACACATACCCTCGGATATAAATATACCAAAATCTGGAAGAATCTGAGACATTTGCCACCAGATGTTATATCTCAATATTAATTTGTAGCCCAAGTCTTAATTGTCTGTACATGGTCTCATTGAGACTTTTTACATGTGCTATACAGTACAGTATGTATTGTTTTGTATGTATTTTTTGTTGTGGGTGGACCTAGTTCTTACAGGTATAGAAATAACACACACACACACACACACACACACACACACACAAACACACACACACACACCTGTATATATGTGAAGGAGAACCTTTGTCCCTTTCGTTTCACAAACAGCCCCCAGAAGAGCATCGCCAGACGACTATGCATCTGATTGGCCGACCAACCACAGTCAATGGTGATGCGAGCAGTCAATCCCATCGCCCCTAGAGCTGCTAGTTCTTTGCCTCTTGGAACAATCTGTCTGGAAGAACAGAGAAGAATATTTATATATTATTTATATGGAGAGAAAGAGGGGATGACACACAGCAAAGGGCCACTAGTCGGATTCAAACCCATGACCGCTGCAGCAAAAGCACCCCTTAATTGGTACTTTACTTGATAATAGAATATCTATACACATAAGAAATTCAGGATTATGTCACTGGCTTGCCACTAGAGACCAAATTGTGTGTGTGTCTGTCATTTATTGTACAGTATATACCGGTTATACTGCCAGCTGCTTCAGTGAGCAAGAACCTGCTTATCAAACCCGATATTTGAGAAATTTTATATCTCTGTGGCTTAATTTGACATGTTTAGGCACTAGAGAAGTCACAGTCCTAATTAGAGAAGGATCATCTTCTGGGGAGCATGAACGTGCTCAGTAGTTGCAATAAAACCTATCATGGATCACAGATATGGTTAATCCTGACTAATGTTAATGCTGGAGAAGATGTCACAAAATATCAAGAATCATCAAACAGAAACCATGAATATGCAAACTTTATAAAATGGCATACCAATATAGTTAGAATATTTTGCTTACACCACGATAACACCTCTCACCTCTCCAGCTGTGCCAGGAAGGGTCTTCTGGGTAGACACACCACATCTTTGACCACCAGTCTTGTCTTCTGCGGAGTCAGTCTCTTCCATTTGAGACGACTACCTTTGTTCGGGGACAGCTGCAGCACACAGTACAACATCACACTGTATTAACATGATGGATCCACAGAACAGAGTTTGAGTACAAACCGCAAAATGAAGTCAATGGACAGACAAGCAGATTACATATGTTGATAAATCACATTAATCATGCCCTCATATTGCCCAAGAATTTTAACTTCAAACAGATACAGTTTGAAGATGCTTTTTGATGCAAAACCATACAGAAAAAGGGCAGTAAAATGTGAGTGCAAGTATAGCAGGAAGCAACTGGTTGTAGCACGGGACAAAAGAAAACATTAATATTTAATTGATTGATAAAAAGAATGAGCTAGGAGTTACTCTTTAACGAATTGCTCACTAGCAGTTCCTCATTCATACATTATTTGTTCTAGTAAATATTCAAACTTCTATGTCCTTTATTGTAAAGTGTTGCCAACACTTTAAATATTTGATTAGTGTAAATGTTGTAATTCATTTATTAAATAAAAATGTGTACAGAAGGTAGGTTCCAACTTCTCTGAAAGCTATGAGCTTGTCTCCACCTCCAATCATAATAAAATGAATCACTTTGGGTTCAAACTGATACTCAAATAAAATAACCTCTTTGACTCTGGGAACATTCAGGTGGCATTTGTCCTTACTTTCTCACATTTTGTACACTAAATGGGAAATCCGTTAAAAAAAAAGGAATAAACACAAAGAAAAAGAAAACATGAAAAATGAGAAAAAAAGCAACAATTAAGGAAACACTCACACTTGCAGATGCAACCCACACATGTACCCTTTAATACTGTGTCTAACTGACCTATAATTGACAGACTTCACTATACGATGGGTTTATTTATCCTAACTGCAATACACAACCTGCTGACTGACTGATAGCTGAATTGAAGCTTTCAACACAGATAAAGAGGGCAACAGATTAGTGTTGATTGATCAGTCTTTCCCCATGTGCTCAGGATTAGCGCACAACAAATCTGTTTTGGCCAATACACTGAACCTGATTAGATTCTGTTTTAAACAGTGAGACGCAAGGAGGCTCAGTGGTTACAGTGATCACAACCCAATCAGATAAAACGAGTTCATGTTTGCACACATTCCGCCTGCTGGAAAGTTGACTTGCTGACCAGGAAATGACTAAATAAAACATGAGGCGACGTACCGGGTTTGTGACAGACACAAGACTCTCAGACACTCTGGGGGGAGGAAACACCTGTATGGACGGAAGAAAAGTGAGAAAGAAAATAAGCCACTTGGAAATGTTATCTTGACAAAATCTTGACGAACCTGCTCATAGAGCTTCTGAATGGCTGCCATTTCTTTTCAACAGTATTACAATAAGTAGGGGTGAGATTCTCTTATACATTGCAACTCTATAAATTTATTTACTTATCTACCTACTTAAATCCCTCATATTCACTAACCTCCATTTCTATCTCAATTTCATCCATGAATTCTGGGACAGGGAGGCCGTGCTTGTCCTCTTCCTTGGTGGGAGATTCTGTTTTGGGCTTGGCCTGCTGCCTGGGTTGGGTCTGAACTTGCTCTGGCTCTGGTTCCTCCTCACAGTCAGGGACCAGAGGATGCTCCAGGTATCTCTGGGTTCAGGGGAAATAAGAGAAAGATATTTACTGTGCATGAATACACACGTGATTCTCCATATGGAGGGAGCATTCTAGACGAATGGCATTGTAACAGCTGCAACTATTAACTATTGATTATTGCAAAACCATGAAGTTTCCATAAATTATAATATTTTGTATGGGAAACAGCATGACATTTGTTTCTTGTTTCAGTTCTTTTTCAGTAGCCTACTCTACTACTGTAATTTTGTTGAAAATAAGTTGTTGTATTGAGGAAATGGTTTTTGATTTAAAAGGCCAGTTCAACCAAATCTCACACACAAAATACATTTTCCTACTTGCTGGCTAACCCCTTTAAAGAAAGGTCTACTTGTGACACCACATCACCAGTTGCACATGTCTACCAGGGGGCACCAGTGAAAACCAAAGTGTGATTTTATCCCACATGTTTAATCTGAATAATTTTCACAGGTAAAAGTATCCAGTAATTTACAAAGAAAAATGAGAGATTAGAAGAAAATCATAAAAAATTATTATTATTATTTTTTTTTTTAAATCTATCCATTTGTTTGCATTTCCTGTATTTCTGACATATTAGCAGCACATATTTCTGCTCTCACCCTAATAAACTGAAGTATATGTAATGCATTGCTTGAAGCACTGAAATAAATATACATAAAGAGCTCAAATAGCACAGTTTCGTACCAGAAATAACCATTTGCAGGTTTCAGCTGCACAACAACCAAAACAGTGTTTACTTTCATTGTATTTGTGTGGCAGCAGAGGTAAAGGAAGGTAAGGGGTCATATTTCAGGGTTTTGCCTTCAGAACATACTATTTGGACTTTCTATGAAGGGCAAGGCTGTTGCTAAACACTAAACACAAAGACATTTTCTTTTAGTTTTAACTTCTTCCAACGTATAACTGAAGCTGCACGCTGAGCTGCAGTGTTACAGAAGACACACCTGGGCAACGCTGTATTCTTCCTCCTTCTCCAGTGTTGATATCATGACGCAGGACTCCTCTGAAGAGAACAACTCCATCTCAATGTTTTCAGTGATGGACAGCAACACTGTCTTCCTCTCTTTCAACTTCATCCTCTCTGATTTAACTCTTTATCTCCTGTAATTCTTACTTCTTTTCACTCTTCCTTTAAGTGCTCTCTGTCCTATGTGTGTTTTGGCAAGATCCAACCTTGATTTAGCCTTCACTTTCCTCTGCTCTTTCCCTTTATTTAGCCTTATTTCGTTTTATCTCATTGATCTCTTGTCCCTCTATGTTTTTATGCCTGGTACTGCTTTCTATTTCCTCTCTACAGTTTCCCCCCAAACAGTTGAACCTCCAGATATTCTTTGGGTGACGGTGGCCCTCCAAACACCTGAACTCTCATTACCTCAAGGTGAGATCTATCAGCGTCTGAAGCTCTGATTGGCTCAGAGTTGTGCTCTCGGGCTGTGATTGGTTCTGTCGACTTCTCTGAAGCTCTCATTGGTTGAAAGGTTTGTGAAATGGCTCTGGTTGGTTCTGCAGGGTTTTTAGATTACATGTTTTTTAAACTGTTGATTCCAGTTTCTACATAATGAATTTAAGTGTTCAAAGGAGTCTCAGATGGCTCATGTAGGCCAGGTATAGAGTTATGTCTTTAATCAACTCCTTATTCACACATCCTTTGTAGTCTGTTTATTCATTGACCTGATGATTGAGTCACTTTTAATTGATCACCTAATAGTATTCCATTGTCCCCCCACCCTAAGTAATTACATAATCAGAAAAATACTAGATCATAAAATTAAAATACATATTTTATGAATAGATTTGGACTTTTAGGCTCAGTAACTCCTCAAATGATCCACTTCAGTGTCTTTTCTAGACAAGTGAAGGAGAACATTTCTTGAACTTTGTATTCAAACAGCCTTAAATTTGCAGACTTCAGCAGGAGCCCACATAGCAAATCATACACCACAGCAGTCTACTATCTTATCAGGCTTTGTTTAGTTTGAAGTCACACCTAATTTCTCTGGTGAAACTGTGGAGAGTTCACGAAACCCCATCGACCAGTCTGTAATCAATAGTGTCAACAAATGTCAGTAAAGTGAAGCAGCAACACAAGACGCCTTTGCTTATCAACAACTTAATACCTATTCTTTACTAACTAACTTACATGAGTTTCACATGAACCAGATGAAATGTTGAAGGCGTGAATGACAGTTTTCATATTTTCTTTTTTTTCCAATTAAAGAAAAGAAAATCAAGTTAAAGGAAGCAGTTAGTTGTGAAGAGGTACAAAACAGTTCTGGTTGATTGCAACTTGGATAAAATATCTTTTGGATAAAGTCCAAAGTACTTGCCGCTTAAGTGATGAATGGGAACATTTTTCCACCTTCTTGAAATTGCATTACATTACGGAGAAACAAGGTTTTCACTCAACCGTGACAGAAAAAGACAGACTGACTCGAATGTGTCGCTTCAGTTGTGACAAATTAAAAGTTATTTAGCTACTTATGTGAATTGGAGAATAAAACATGAAACTCATAAAAGGTTTTTTAATTTCTTTCTTTTTCTTTGCATTTACTGAATCAAAAAATGTTGAGGACAGGTCTGGTGGCGGCCCCATCAGTTCTAAAGTGCTTTAAACTCCTCGTTTTTAGGATTGCAGGACCAGTTTTAGGACTACAAACTGCTAATAAATAAAAATAAATTCTCATAGTAGCTCAACATTTTTTTTGTCACCGCATACAGTATATAACTTACATGTTTAGACTTGTGTCTCTGTAGCTGTGACAGCGTGAGATACAAACAAACATACTTTAAAACTGTTACAGAAATTACAAGTTAAAATATGAATGGCAAACCAAACTCATGCAAAGCAATATCCATGTACAAACAACAACTAAAAATCCAGGAAAGAAGAAGAATATGGGATTTATAAACTGGATTGCGTAGCTACCAGGAACCTGAAGGGGAACCTAAAACCATTTTTTTAATATCTGCTCTGCATGACCTGCTCTATATACTGCAGTCTGTTCTTGTGTAGCTTGTATATTCTATTCTTTTCTATATAACTACTTTGTCAGCTAAAACAGATACATCACCAGAGTGGCTGATAAATGTTTAATTTAATTGCTTCAAACTCCAGAAGGTGGTCAAGTACTTGTGCCATCACAAACACACAAAACCTTTCCATGATTGTCTGAGGACAAAATGCTGCTCATAGCGTCGAGAGTAGAGATCCAGGATTATGTTGTGAGTGTTGTCAGCTTGAATCATCCTCAAACACACACTGCTGAGGGTCTTCTGAGCAAATCACTGAACCCTCAACTGCTCCAGTGCAGTAGTGAGTACTGCAGTCAACATGCTGTCATTCAAGAAGGGCTGACACCCTTTGTCTTTGTCTATTCAAGAATGTGTGCGTGTGTGTGTGTGGTGTGTGTGTGTCTGTGTGTGTGTCTGTGTGTGTGTGTCTGTGTGAGTCTGTGCGTGTGTGTGGGTCAGGCCAGCAAGTGTTTCTGACTGCATGTTAACAGGTGAGGCAGGAAGTACGAGGCGGTGCCGTCGTCAGGTATCAGCTCCAGAAACTCTGAGGGGCTCGTCTCCATGGCAACCACAACCAGCGTCTCTGTCGGCATAGAAACGAGTCGCATTAAACCCAGGCATCAAAACATGACAACACCAGAGCTGATCTGCAATCAGGGTTGTCAATTCAATTCATCACCAAGAGAAACACTCTGTGTACTGCCAAAAATAAACTTGAGGTGAGAAAATAGTTGATCTTTTATCTATTGATCTGCTCTGTTGGCTTAAGAAGAATACAATTTAAATAAACAAAGCCTAAAATATTTAGAATAACTCAAATTATCCCCAACATGTGCACATAAATTATATTATTATTATATTATATATATTTCATGGCTTTGTTAGAGTGTCCAGATTGTTGTCAAACCTGTTTGACATCAAAGTCAAAGGAGACAAACCGGCACTCTGCTGTCCAGAATAACTATGTCATGTGGTCATCTGGCCTCAAACTTAGAAGAAAGTCATGGAATACTTATAACAGACTAATGGTATTCTGGGAAAAGCTTCAACCTTTGAGAGCAGCCAATAGGATGCTGTTGTCAGATGCAGCTCTTGTCCTGTTACAAAGCTCAGGGAGCAGCTTCTGCCACCACAACACCTACAGAGAAGAGACGGACGGTAAAACTTCTGAGAGCGTACGGAGTCAAACGGTTACACACTGCTGCGCAGTACAGACCATATTCTTGTCTTGTAACTGGTGGTTGGCGTAGGCTATGATGGCCTGAGGACATCGGTCCAGCAGCTTTTCAATGCTGCTGTCGTACTGCCCCCTTCTGGTGGAACAGAGGAGGTGCAGGCTGAAGCCCCATAAGGTTTCCTCTGACAGGCGCTCTAGAAGAGGCACGACAGAGCCCACAGACAGGGACGGACCACACAGGAGAGACTGGAGACACAGGCAGGCATACAGAAAGGTGAAATAACACAATCTTTGTTTTACAATAAAAAAAAGTTGAGTTCATAAACCAAAAAACAGAAATTAAATACTCAGTTCAAGACACTCAGGGGTTTCGCAGTCACAGCCTCTTTTGATAGATATTGCTGTGAAACTGTAATTATGTAAGTGACTGAACTGTTTTGCTCACTTTTCTCTATTTTTGCTACTGTTCAGAAACACAAACCAGGGTTTTAGAAATGTCTGCCATGTCCAGGTAGTCCCACAATCTCAGTTTTTTCCACTTTTAATTATTTTTATTAAGTTGTCATTGATTAAAAAACAGCTGTATCCCTGAATATTTCTACACATGGTCTAAAAGAGTTTTATCTGCTCTGCTGGGAATAACTTGCTTGTGAAAAATAGTTAAATTGTTTTATTTGATCAATTATTATTTAATTTTTCTTGGCCTGACAGTTTACTTTATCTAAAAAATGAAGATAACGTTTAAAGTATACTTCATTTCCTAAGAATTACATACATACACACAGAAGTTTATTTTGTCCAGTTTTAGTTATATATTGTTGCATTTTCATACAGATAAATGAAGCTCTATTGTTGTAATTTAAGTGTTACATATGTGTGTATGAGTCTTAAAAGTGCTAAAAGCAGTGCATCAGGAGAAGTTCTGTAATGCCTTAAAAATCTATTTGTAATAATTAATTCAGTTCCTTTTATTTTACAACTTATAACACTTTGAAGGCAGATGGTCTCTCTGATCTCTCCTCTATTAATGTAATGTGATTCTAGCTTCTTACTGAGGCAGCTTCACTGATGGCATACAGAAGCAGACTTATTTTGTTCACAGACAAATTACCTGCAGTTTGTGTAGCGCCTCCTGGTGTTGGGAGCTGGTAGTGTGAGCTGGACTGAGAACAGTGAGCCACGGGTACAGAGCACCGTAATGGATGCACGAGTTTATCTGAAACACACACACACACACACACCACAACACACACCACACACACACACACACAAACACACCACACACACCACACACACACACACACACACACACACACACACACACACACACACACACACACACAATCACAACACACACACACACAGGCCTTTGTTATTAATAAATATCAACGACAGAAAATAAAAAGACGGCTGAATTGGCTTAAATCTTGAACAGCTGTCTACCAAACAAACAAACACGACAGCAGAACTTTTTAGCAACTGTACCAGATCTTCAGCGCTCTTCAGCGGCCTGCGTCTTGAAGGTGTGTGTGGAGGCTCTGAGTTTGTCAGTCGGTCGATGTAGACAGACGCCACTCGGAACAGAAGTTCCTGGATGACGGCTTCCTGCGAGGACGCCATGAGCATCGCCTCCCAGAAATCCACCTGTAAGCAATTCTCACAGCCCAGCTCCTAAACACACACATTTAAATCATAATTAAGGCTAGTATTTTGCTGCTTAGGTAACGTAACAAATGAGTGAGATGATTTTACTTCTCGCCTCCTTGCTGTGGATTACCAGGTGCTAGTGACACACACGCACACACACCTTGAATATTTGATCAGCCTGTTCCAGTTGAACTTTGTTGTTTTCATGTAGAGCCACCATGGCAGCCACCAGCAGCCCCGGTTGGGACTTTGCCAACTGGCGAGTCAACGCCGTGGGACGGATGTGTGCGTGCTGGCCTCCACCTCCACCGTGCAGCAACAGCCTCGACTCCTCAATGAACCCGTACACCAGCAGCATCTGAAGACACACAAACACCGTTCTGAGAATTCATGTTTTAGAGTATTGATTCATTTACCCTAATACACTGTAGGAATAACTCCTACTAATCAATTCGACAGTTAGTTTTAGCAATTATTTTGTCAAGTTGTCCCAACACAGGAGAAGAAGACCTAATAAAGAAAGCAGCATCAAGTCTAAAAATTGGCAAACATTCAATAATTTGGCACAATACTGGCACCTAAGAAATAATGGAGGAAAGCCTGAATGAATGATGATATCAGACAAAAACTCCCTGTTGAATAAGGAGGAATTTCCAGGAGAAAGTTGACTAATGTCAATCTCACCAATTTATTTTGGCCAGGTCAGATAAACATAGCCTGATTCAACCGGACCTACATCAGACAAAAACTGTTGTTTGCGGGTCAGACTGGATTCAGAAACACATGTGGAACGTGTATTTCTCATTACCTCAAACACACACACACACACACACACAAACACACACAAACACACACACACACCCTGTCCCCTCTAACCTCAGCGTGTCTTTCCATCATCTGTGTGTATCGCGGCAGGTCGTCCAAAAGCAGCATCATGGTTGCCATGGTGATCGTCAGGGGAACCGACACGCCGGCAGTGTCCTCAAGATGTTGTAAGATTTGCATCGTCCGGGCAGGACTGACGTTTACCATGGGCGGGCTGGCGCACACGCTGACCAGCTGCGAGGGCTCCGATTGGCTGAAAATGTCTATGACCTCATCAGCAGCTTCCTGCAGGAAGAGAATTATTTAATTCTTCTTTTTCTTTAGTTTCCTTGTATATTAATGACCTTTTACAAAACAACTGATAAACTGATGAATATAAAAATTATACAGTACGTCAATAACTTCTTAATTAGATGTTTTACACACAATTCACTACAACACAGAACTTTTTCAGGACATTAACATTGAAAATTGGTTGTATTCAGGGATAAATTATAACAGCTTTGGTGGTGATGGACTTCACTTTCATATTGTTCATTCTAATGCTGCAAAGTAAATTTAACAATGACTTAATCCATATGGCACCTTCAAAACAGATCTCAAAATACCTGACTGTAAAAGTCTCCCATCACAACAAGCCTAAGCACGATACAAGCAGCATATTTGTTTGTGCAGCTGTATGTTTGAGTACCTGACTGAGGCTCTGCTCTGTTTCTTCTAACAGGTAATGCTTTAGGTAAAACAGGAAGCCGGGGCCGTAGGAGTGAGGGCTGCTGGGAACCGGGCGGTTCCTGGCCATGACCTCTGTGACAGGCAGACAAGACATCCTGTAGTACGGCAAAGCCAGGTGGCAGTCCTTCTGACCGCTCCTTACAGAGCAGAAAGGAATAATTAGTGCTAAAACAACTCTTAGCCAATCAAAAGAAAATTAAAAAGCAACAACTGCGATCCTCAACAAATCATCTGTGAAGAAAAAATAACATTCTTGCCAGCTTTTCAAACTATTTGATGCTTTTCTCTGATTTATATAATTTTAAATGGGGAATATACAACAGAATTATTATTTAAATAAACATTTTGCTACGTTT